AAACAGGGCAGGATGTTTCCAAACATAACCCGCCATTGAAGAAATCAGTTTTATTTTGTCTACATGGGGGTGTCGTTGGCAGCCAGTCTCTCTGACTTCAGCTGATACACTGCTACGGTAGGCAACCAGGCCAGGTTCAGCCAAGTCAGAATTCTCGCTGAGGTTTCTGTGCTTCTTGAACACCGTCAGGAAGGAGCTGTTCTTTCAGATTGCTCATTAATTGGCAAAACAAACATTTTGTTCTCTAGAGTGATTTGGGTACCAGTTCCAAGACAGATGTATATTTTTAGATCTCCTTATGTGACACTTAGATCTTCTTGTCATGTGAATTCTTTTTCTTTTCTTAAGTCCAGTGGTGAAATATTCTGCTCACAAAGCAGTAAAACCTCACGCAGCCAGTTCAGGGGGGCGGAACTGAACGACAAGGATGGGATTTGAACCCACGCGTGCAGAGCGCAATGGATTAGCAGTCCATCGCCTTAACCACTCGGCCACCTCGTCACTTGCACTTATCTTCTCTTTTATATATGATTTAAAGAGTAGTCAGAAGAGCTGTTTATTACCCCAGTCCCGGGAGAATAGAGGCCCGGCAGTTGATCTGGGGAGATGAAAGATTGAACAGCAGATTATTTAGGCAGAATGTTCCCCTCAATACTCAGAGTATTCCAAGTGCTTTTACCTTTTGTAAATCTGTTCAGCATGCCTGCAAAAGTGATAGAAGGTATAAGCCTTTTTGCTTTCCATGGAAAATGCAGGGAAAATAAAAGGGAGAGAGGAATAAACAATCATTGACTTTGGCACAGCTGAAAATAGATGTCTTTTTTGTGATATTCTCATTCTTCCCTGGGATATGGGGGACTTTTAAACATCCCCAGGCCCAGGCCACACCCAAGACCCATAAAGTCACAATTTCAGGAATTTGAGCTTGCAGACAGCCGCAGTGGGCAATGAAGTCCGAGAACTATCATTTTGTTAACGTTTCAGGTGACCTGATCTCTCTGTATACCTGAGTGTTTGGAGGGGATGCCACCTCAAGCTGGCATCTGATTTGGGGTTTGGAGGAGGAGAGGGAAGCTGGTGGTATAGAAGGGCAGGATTCCATTCCGGCCCAGGAAGGCACAGCAATACAAGCATGGATTCTGCTTTGTCACAGCAATCTTCTTCTCCAGTAACTCCAGAGTATCTGCAGACCCTCAGGAGACTTCCATGGCTCTGCTCACATCACTGCCTGCGGGAAGTCTCTAAACGGCTCTAGGTGCCTAGAGACATGGGCCATATTTGATCACTTCTCTCTCACTCCCCCATCCCCTAGAGATTGCCATGGGGGACAAGGACTGCATTTTTCCTGTATATTCTCTACATCAGCTATGTTTTAGGATCCACTAAATATTTTAAAGGGAATGGGTAGATGAAATAATCAATCGATATAAATATTCACTCTGTTTGTTATCAATTCATTTCAACTCAGTATATGTTTATTAAGTGCCTTCTATAGAGCTGGCCCCCTGGTGTAAACTCTGAGGCTATAATTCTAAACAAGAGCGAGCCCCTGCAAATCTTTGGTACCCAAAGTTTCCCCCAGGACACCTCCACCTCGGGGCTCCTCTGTCCTGTAATGTGCATATTAATTCTCATTCTTCCTTCAGTTTTTCTCACACTGGCCCCCGCTTCCCCATGGAAGGTTTTGGACAGGGAGAAGAAAAGTGTGTTTGGGATTGAATCAGCTCCACAAATGGGCGCTGAAAGTCCTGCTTATTTTAGCACATGTGTTTTACACCAGGGCTACCTTCAGGAGTCTCTCTCCAACCAGCTGGGTGGGGGCGGGGGGAGTACTTATTCAGAGAGGAATAGAATTTAATATAAACATTCCTTGCCCTCCCTCCCACCCCCACCCCCCAAAATTACCTGACACTGAAGGCGAAATCCTGGTCTCAGATTGTCTATAAAACCAGCTGTTCCAATATCTGAACTCACAGAACTGCCCTCCAGTTAATTTGGAGTTTGGATTGAAACCATGTTCCAAATTTTGCCTTAATTCAGTCAGCCAACAGGTATTTCTGGATCCTGCATACAGGCCTGATACTGTACCCTTAGGTTTTATTTCTCTGGAGCCCAAAAAGGTGAAATCCTCAAAACTAATCCATGGGTTATGGCAAAATGTGCAGATTGGTGTAGCCCCTGCCCCGTGTAAACTTTGTGCACCTTCTCCTCCTGCAGGACACATGCATTGTCTTTCTTTAACAGAACTTTACACCAATCCAACATAGGTGCTTTCTTTGGCAATAAATGGATTCTTATTTGAGAAAGAATTGCCAAAAGGTCTTGAGACAGCTGCTGTTTGAAGCTCACATGGAAGTCAAAGATTCACCTGGCCATGACTTTGAAGGAAATGCCTTTGTCTAAAATCTTTCAATATTGTTTATGCCCTGACCTGTCAGCAGAGATTTCCAGAAAGCTAAATGTCATGAACTTTAAGATACAGGAAATAGAATCTTGTTAGCAAAGGTTTGTGTTTAATTTTGTCTTATCTCTCATAATATGGAGAAAGTCACCTAATGTTACATAAAAACTCCCCTATGTTATTATAGATCTTAGAGCCTCTCTTAAAACAGCCCCGTCCAGGAAATTCCAAGTCAGGGATAAAAGCGGTGGGGAGCGGCCTGAAGTGTGATGAGCTGGTATATAATAGATATTTCATTTCTAAGAAAATTGACCAATTGAAAGTGCAATAGTTTATTTAAAAAGTAATGATAGAACTTGAAGATTGAGTGACCGTGTTGACATTTCGACAACATGTATGCAATTTACAATATGGGTCATTAGAATAGTTGCGGTTTCTGCAAATTTTACATGGAAAAACTGGAGAATGCTTGACGCTTAGCTAATCCACTCCGGAGGGCCCTCTGAAGAAGTGGTGAGCTATGTAGTAAGTGCCCACAAGTGTAGGTGATTCAAAGACAGTGAGGGTGTCTTTAATAATCGTCCTGTAATAATTTATATTTACTTAACAATCGTGTGAGTCGATCTCAAAGTTTAGGCATAATGTTTTTTAAATGTGTGGTTTGTTTCAATGCTTATGAGCCATAATTAGAAATAATATATGGTGTTGTATTTTGTTTCTTTACTACTCTCTTTTGTTTCCTGAAATTTAAGCTGGGCCCATATGAACAAAATGGGACAATTTTCTTGGTGGAACATCATGGTGACAGAACCACCACGACAAAAAAGAACTCACAGGATAGTATTTGGATAATTAAATTCTAATGTAAATGATACTGTCTGCAACCTTCTATTCCAGCATTGAGAAGTAGGCAGTACACTAGCATGTAACCAACCCTGGTATGATTGGTTAATGGCTAGTGTATGGCTAAGACAGTATGCCATAGGGGCACCTGGGTGACTCAGTCGGTTAAGCATCTGCCTTTGGTTCAGATTATGATCCCAGGGTCCTGGGATCGAGCCCCACATTGGGCTCTCTGCTCAGCGGGAAGCCTGCTTTTCCTCTCCCTCTGCCTGTGGTTCACCCTGCTTGTGCATTCTATTTCTCTCTGTCAAGTAAATAAAATCTTAAAAAAAATAATAAAATAGCACGCCATAGCTCATTATACATATTCATTAGCTTTTAACTATCTGGTGAAATACAATTTAAAAAGACTATAATATCCTGAAAGTACAAAAAAAATACTTTTTTTTCATTTGAGAAAAGCAAACAAAGCAATCTTTTCCTTAATCCCTTTAAAATTTTCTGTAGTTTACATTTTTTGAGAATGCATTTCCTTCTAGATTTAAAAAATAATGTAAATATTTATGCAGCTACCAAGATATGCTAAATTGAATATATATTATATTCTTTTATGGTGGTCCTGAGCTCACCTTATGGACAACATAATTTGGGGAGACTCACACAAACTACATGAAAAATACTTTTAAATTTTATCCTATTTTGGTTTCATTAATAAATGAATTTTTCAATGTAAACAACAACAAAAAAAGATATGGAATATCTCCTCTATGCACCTAATCGAGGGTTAATGTAATTTTTGTAGCCAAATTCTGTGGGTTTGGTTCCCAAAGCCATGTTTTGTTTTTTTTTTTTTTTTTTTAGAATTATTCCTTTTATTACAAAACTTAATGATTTCTGTACTTTTTCCTTATAAGAATAAAATAAAACTGATGTTCAAAATTGGAAACTGGATAATCAGACAAAAAAATCACATTTATTTCAATAGTCCAAAGTGCAAATACAGCAAGTCAGTTCACGTTTCAAGATACAGTTTTAAGTATAATGAAAACTTGAAATACAAAAATGAAAGGGTAAGTAGAAATAAAGCTCAATTTTTTAAAAAATTCAAGTAACCCGAAAACCTTTAGACTAAAATATTCCACTTACAACAATTCAGAAATGCCTTAATTTATAGATACTAGTACAGTGCAATCCCAAAAGACTTCTCAAAGAAAGAGAATCACCCCAAACCGGTCAGCTCAGGACAAGAGTGAAGTTCTTGGTACTGGCTATTCCTGATTCGGCAGCCTCACTCACTGTCAACTGATATGGTTCAACCCATGATACTTTGATGTTTAAGCAAATTCTAAAAAATGTTTAAAGTTCAATATGAGGCCAACACCCTACTAAGAGTTTCTGAAATGGCCACTATATATTTAAAAGATTTTAAAGACCAATTTCAACTTCAGGCCTATGGTATTACTAGGGGAAAGACAGAAATTAATACTTTTTCCATTACTTAAAACCTTTCTGTAAGGTTAGCAACATGGCCTTTACAACTTCCTCATGAAAATCGTACTTAAATATATACTTATTTCTACACATACAGAACATTTATGTAAAGTAGAAAAAGTTCCCACTAGGAAGATAATTAAAGGTTGTTAATGTTCTTTTTATCACTTAGCAGCCAAGACACGTTTATTTCTGCTCCGCAGAAGCAATGTTAGCTACTCGCTTCAATTCAGGAAAGTGTGTATGTTCAGGAAGGTTTAGATATTTATTCAGTCTTTTTCTCAATCTTCTTCATCTTTTCATTGTAGGCAATAAATTGAGAATCTGTTCCAAAAATTCTATCCCACCATGTAAATGTTGAAGCATAGTTTCCGATGAAGTTCATGTGGTGGAAATCATGATGCCGAGAACCAGCATAGAAAGGGATCAGATTTAAAGGGTTGAGAGGAATGTCATAACCACTATGGACATCAATAGTTTCTATCAAACGAATAGTCACCCGTGCCCAAAGGAGAATGACATGATCACATAAAAGCATGATTCCAATGAAAAATACAGTTCCAAGAATCAGAGTTTCCAAGGGATGTGCATATTCAGCTTCCATTCCAAATGGAGCCTGAAACTCATGATGAACTTTATGAATATATTTATATATTCTTTTGTGATGTAAGAGCCTATGCAGGAAATAGTGCCAGGTATCCT